CAACCATCCAAGCGACGTGCAACGCGATGATAAACGTCGAGAACCAATGAGGAAAATTGTCCCCCTGGCAACAATTTTGGGAAGGAAGAGCGATTGCCCAGAAGAGAGCTGCTGGCGTTTTGCCCTTATTTACAATATTCGTTACGCTGAATTATTGCTTCATTCAATGTGGGCTCGTAAGTGGGAATAACCCAATGGGAACCGTATATTAGGATCAATTTTCAGGAAGGAAAGAGCGAAAAAGACAGCCAAACTACATGGGATTTTGAGTTTTTTAGCAGAAAGAATCCAGGCAGTAGCCCGGATGAGTGACAGTGCAGAAATATAGCCAACCCATCCCATTTTTTTCCCCCAGGAAGGGAATTCTAAAGTCTTTGTGAAAACTATCTTACAGAATAAAAGAGTTGGAAGGAACTTTGAAGGTCTTCTAGTCCAACCACCACACACTTTTGACTCATATTTAATTGGTTGTCCACTAAGACTCCAAGACCCCTCTCACAGTTACTGCTATTGCCTGGTTTCACCCAGTCTATATGTGTACTTTTGGTTTTTCTTGCCTAAGTGTAGGACTTTATGGGAGGGCAAAGTTGTTTCTGTGTGGGCTTGTGTGTGTGTGCCATCATGCAGAAGATGATGATGTTATCCATTCAGTCATCTTGCACTGCTTCTTTGAGTTATTCTTTGCTTTGGCTGGTATTAGCTTTGATGGTGTCCAGCCACCTTGTTTTTTGGTGGCCTGGTTTCCATTTACCGCTAACTCTTCCCAACACAATTGCTTTGTCCACTGAATTCCCCCACTAGACATGGCCAAAATAAATGAGATGCAGTTTTGTGATATATATTTTTTTTGCCTTCTGGTGTTGTGCGTTCCAGTATTTGCTTGTTAGTTGCTTTGGCTGTCCAAGGAATATGCAGGAACCTCCTTGAGCAACACCATTCAAACGTGTCAAGCATAGGATGATATTATCACACAAGGTTTGCACCTCTGTATTGCACAATAAAATCTTGAGACACGTGACATCATCTTTCAGGCACAAAAGATTGTGTCCACACATGAAGGTCCAATTAAACTGATTTATTGATAAACAGCCTATGCGCAGGAATCTTCTCAACTAATGGTTAGCACCTGCTAGGATTTAGATAAGCCTCAACAGAATTTGTGCTGGGGAAGACTCTTGCGAGTCCCTTGGACCGCAAGGCGATCCAACCGGCCAGTCCTAGAGGAGATCAACCTTGGCTGTTCTTTAGAAGGCTAGATCCTGAAGATGAAACTCAAAGACTTTGGCCACCTGATGAGAAGGAAGAATTCACTGGAGAAGAGCCTAATGCTGGGAATGACTGAGGGCAAAAGAAGAAAAGGACTACAGAGAATGAGGGGGCTGGATGGAGTCACGGAAGCAGTAGGCATGAGCTTAAATGGACTCCAGAAGATGGTAGAGGACAGGAAGGCCTGGAGGAACATTGTCCATGAGGTCACAATGGGTCGGACATGACTTCAACACCAATAACAATAGAATTTAAGGGAGGATAGACATAGTTCTCTTGCGGCTACATAGGGATTCTACACTGATTTCTAGTGTGTGACAGCATCAAGGTAGCTAGTTATTAAGTCATTGGCTGTTGTTTCCTTGTGCTGCCAAGCGCTCAACCTCCTAAACTCCTGATAAACTGGGGGTAAATCAGAATTACTTACTGATGAGGGGCCTGTTTCCCAGGTTTCAATCACTTCCCCGGCTGTTTTTGTATCTGCTTGTCCAACAATCTTAGTAGTTTATCAAGAAGCGAGGGCTTGGCAGCACAAGGAAACAACAGCCAACGACTTAAATAGCCAGCGGTCAACACCCTAACCAACAACTCAAAAGCCACACACACACAACCAGGCACCCTATAAATACCATACACAGAATAGCCCAAAGCACACACTCCGCTAGAGAGAAATTCCCTACGGATGGGCGCCAAAAGTTTGGAAGACACAACCTCTGGTTCCCAGTGATTGACCCGGATTGGATACTGCAACATTACCCTGGGAGGCGTGGATTCGCCTTCATTCACGAATTACTTTTTTAACTTTGGTGAAGTTGTGCATTTGAGGTAAGGGTTTTCCTGGGTGTAAACAACCCCTAGGAAAACTTAGTGGTTTGGGAGGAATAGTTTGTTGTTATTCCATCTATGACTGAAAGTGAGAAAATTTTATTAATTCAGTAACAAAGTGGCATGAAATGTGTGAAGGCATCCTTGTATCCTGAGGGGCCCGATAGTTCTGCTCAAGATCTCACAATCTTGGGGAGGATCGCTTGAAATGTCTTTTGAAGTTTTCGAATTGAAAATAGCTGCGATTTGCAGGCATTATTATAGCCTATTAACAGGAGACATGACTTGAATGCAGAAGGCTGTTTGTTTTGATCCAGAATCTCTAGTTAAAGGAAGTTTTTAGCAAGAGTTGAGAAGAGTTGAGAAGCAGTAACTGGGAGAGGGATCTTGGAGTCTTAGTAGACAGCCAGTTAAATATGAGTTAACTGTGTGCAGTGACAGCCAAAAAAGCCAATGCAATCCTAAATTGCATTAACAGAGGGATACAATCAAGGTCAAGGGAGGTACTAATGCCACTCTATAAAGCCATAGTAAGACCACACCTACTGTACACCATAAGGATGTCCAACCTTGCCAACTTGTGGACTTCAATTTCATGGCTGGCTGGGGAATTCTGGGAGTTGAAGTCCACAAGTTTTAAAGTTGCCAAGTTTGGCCAATCTCGGTGTACAGTTTCCATAGCTACACTTTCTGGGAATGGTTGACTTGCTGGAAAAATCTTTCCACATTGTAAGTTGGGATCAAAGCACGAAAGAGAAAACTGTAATCAAGCAACAGAAAAAAAATCAAGGAACTGCTGTCATACAACCAACCTATCCTATAAAGATCCTTAGTGGCACAGTGGTTAGAGTGCTGTACTCTAGGCCACTTCTGCTGACTATCGGCTGCCTGCAATTTGGCAGTTCAAATCCCACCAGGCTCAAGGTTGACTCAGCCTTCCATCCTTCTGAGGTGGGTAAAATGAGGACCCAAATTGTTGGGAGCAAATATGCTGACTCTGTAAACAGCTTAGAGTTGTAAATCACTGTAAAGAGGTATATAAGTCTATGTGCTATTGCTATTGCTATCCCAAGGAATTCAATCATTTTTCACTGGATCTCATTTCTGATTGCTACAAACTTTTCAACCACATGGATGTAGAGAACTGTTGGTGGGTTTTTGCATAGATCTATCCCAAGGGTCTTCAAACTTGGCAAGTTTAAGATTTGTGGACTTCAACTCCCAGGATTTCCGAACTAACATGACTGGAGGAGGAATTCTGGGAGTTGAAGTCCACAAGTCTTAAAGCTGTCAAGTTTGAAGACCCCTGATTCTATCCTAACCTTCATTCTGTATATCTTGCACATTTATGAAAAACTATTACAAATGGGTGAGTCTATTTATTTTCAATCAGGATCATGTTCTCTCTTTTTTTTTTTTTTGATCCACAAATAGGATCCATTTGCTTTTTTATTTTTTAATCATTTGAACAAAGCCTACAATTAAGCAATTGTTTAAATATCATTTCAAAAAAATATTTGTTCTTCAGGGAAGGTTTTTTGATATACAGATAATTTGTGAGAGAATTACACTTTTCAAAACGGTCAAAATCTGTGGCACGGTTCCAATCTGTCCACCAACGACAGGTATTAAATCACAATTAAACCTCTTTGTAAGGTACCAGGAAGACAGCCTTGAGAATATTCCAAAACTTTGTTATGGAAACAAAGACGGAAGCATTTCTTAAATCCTAGGGAAGGGAAATAGTGATAAGGAGAGGCTCAGATTGGTTCCTCTCTGACTCAGGGAAGGTAACCCCAAGGAGACAGGTGGGGTTCTTGGTGCTCTCAAAGCTTGGTTGTTTTGCTACAGACGTTACATTACTCAACCAGATAAACATCATCAGTGCTAAAAGAGAGTGGGGTTTACAGGGGGAGGCGGCGGCGGAGGAAGGATAGAAGGAGGACTGTGAATTTCCTGGTGTGCTCTGAACTTACTTGTTTTCTTGCAGATGTTTCATGACGGAATTAAGTAACTTCATCAGTGTTAGAACAGAATGGGGTTTGTGAAGAGGAGGAGGAGGAGGAGGAGGAGAATGACCATAAACGTCTATAACTGTCCATAATTTACTACTTGGAAAATGAGGGGCTAGATCAAACTATTTCTTCCTCCTCCTCCTCTTCCTCCTCTTCTTCTTTCTCCTCCTCCTCCTCCTCTTCCCAAAAGGTGACCCATCCTTTGGTCTTCTCCTCCTCTTCCCAAAAGGTGACCCATCCTTTGGTCTCCTCCTCCTCCTCTAACAGGTGGTTGGTTCTTCTTCTCCTCCTCCTCCTTCCTCCTCCTCCTCCCTCTTCTTTCGCCTATTCCTACTCCCCCCCCTACTTTTCTTACTTTCTACTTCTTCACATTCATGCTGTTCCAGGGAAGGAGATGGCACATAAAAAGAAAGTATCTTGCAAAGCAGCAACACGGACTTGTCAAACCCAAAGTACACCTGACTCTTCTGTGTTCATTGAGCTGAAGAGTCAATGGTGCATTTTCTGCTTTTAAAAACTAAGAATAACAGCTGGCTCAGCCATCTTTCTGGCAAATCATTTCTAGCGAAGGAAAAATGCCATGGGAGCCCTACTTCACCTTGGCTTTAGAGATAATTGGCTCCATTCCAATGGTCTTTGGCATGGGTGGAGGAGGACCATTCCGGAACAGGTCATAGGTTGGGAATCTCCTAGTCTGAAAGGAAGAAGGGGTCAAGCAGGGAAGTAGCCTTGAGTCCATGCAAAGATGCAACAGGACAACCTATGAGTTGTAAGTCGAGGACCTTCACTTTAGATCTGTGGTTGACCTTTTCATGCTTCCCATTCCTCACTGACTTCCCGCTGCTGTGACCAATGGTCAACTCTTCGAGTCTACCGAACGCATCAGAATCCTACCTGTGAAGACCAGCTGGGTTTATTTCTTGATGGAAACGGAGAGGACGATGATGAAGATCAGAAGAACGACCAGCCCGGCGGAGATAACACAACATTTCACTCTCCTTGCTCGCCGCTTAGGAGGACAAAGGCAAGAAATGAAAGTCAACACTCAGGATGGGACAAACAGAAAACCAAGAAGTCTTGATGTGCTCTAAGGAGGGGAGGAAAGTGGCTTCGTGAACCATGGGACTGGTGGACAAGGGACATGTTTTTCCCTCTTAAATATTAACACACATGTATAAAAAGAAAGAGGCACCAGAGGCACCAATCTGGACTTTGCCTCTAGTTGTGGGTCTCTAGAAGCTCCTACTGTTTTTTTTTTTTTTTACAATCTCTATGGTGTACTTGAGTCAGGCATTGTGTGATTTATGTTAATAAATGTTAATAAATAAATGCTATTGACACTTTCCTCCTTAATACTGTCTCAAGAGAGACTGATAATGAAGATCTCTTCGTTATCTATCTTCCTTCCTTCCTTCCTTCCTCACTCCCTCCCTCTCACATATTTCTTTCTTTCTCACACATTTCACACATTTTCTCTCTCCTCCTATCCATCTTCTTCCTTCCTTCCTTCCTCTTCTTCCATATCCATCCTCCTTCCTTACGCCCTCCCTTTCTCTCCTTTCTTATTTTTCTTTTCTTCCTCCCTCCCTCTCATATTTCTTCCTTCCTTCCCTCCCTCCCTCCCTCTCACACATTTCCTTCCTTCCTATCCATCTTCTTCCTTCTTTCCTTCCTCCCCTCCCTCAGACACATTTCCTTCCCTCCCTCCTCCTATCCATCTTCTTCCTTCCTTCCTTTCTCTTCTTCCATATCCATCTTGCTTCCTTACTCCCTTTCTCTTTTCTTTCTTCTTTCTCTTTTCTTCCTCCCTCCTTCACATTTCTTCCTTCCTTCCCTCCCTCTCATGCATTTCCTTCCTTCCTACCCATCTTCTTCCTTCTTTCCTTCCTCCTCTCACACATTTCCTTCCTTTCCTCCCTCCCTCCTATTCATCTTCTTCCCTTCCTTCCTTCCTTCCCTTCCTCCCTCTCACATATTTTCCTTCCTTCCATAATTGCTTCTCTTTCTATATTGCTTCCCATAGAGCCTGAACCAAATCAAATATTATACCTTTCATTGTTGCCTTTAATCAGATCTATGATCCTGTTATTACTCTCTCATTTGGGAGTCAAGTCAGGGGTTGGTTTCCAAGAGAAAAAGGAAGGTAACCTTTTACATCTTAAAAAGACATTCACCTGTTTGTTCCTGACCTTTGAATAAAGTTTCCTTCACAAGTTAACACCACTTTGTTGTTAAATCATTGCTTCAGCTCTGGAGTTCGCAAAGGCCAACAACATTAACTATTTTTCCTACCTTTTTAAAGTGGGGGAATATTGATTTAAATCAGCAACTGGGTTGGTTTTTTTTTTTTTTTTTTTTTTTTACAATGGCATTCAAGCTAGTCAATCTCTCCCGGATATAGAAAAAAAATGGACTTTTGTATGCCAAGCTGCATGAACCATTATTTGACATTTGTGCAACCGTTAGTCCATAATCTGCAACTCCTTTTTTTATGTATTAAATGTACATACCGCCCAGCTCACTATCGCATGATTCCATTAAATATAAGCTGAATTATTTAGTTTGAGTTAGTGGGATGTTTTCCCTGCTTCTCTGAATCACATTCGTGATTCTTGCATTTGGGAATCCGATGGAAATGGCAAAGAAATTTGGCATCTGATAACCAGTCGGATTTGAGCATAGAAATATATCACGATGGTCAAATGAAGGAAACCGGACTACCCGGTGATAAAATAAAAGGAAGGAGACAAATAGCTTCAAACCTAAAGGGAGGGAGGAAATTATGCCTCCTCCACAGCTAAAGAGACAATGCCTGTCAATCAAGGTCTTAGATTTTGAGCCTAGTCCTGCCTTTCATAGCAAATGGATTGGTTTTCTGACAATATCACTAAAAGAGAAATCAGAATTATTGCCATTAACTCATTTATTTTCCAATCTTCATTACCTTCATTACCTTCCTTCCTTCCTTCCTTCCTTCCTCTCACATAATTCCTTCCATCTTTCCATTCTTCTCTCCCTCCCTTTCTCTCTCACTCTCCTTTCTCTCTCTCTCTCTTCCTTCCTTCTTCTCACACATTTCCTTTCTTCCTTCTATGTATCTTTCCACTCTTAACCCCTTTCTCTCTCATTCTCACACTTCCTTCCTTGTTTCCTCCCACACTTTCCTCCCTCCCTCCCACTCTCACACATTTCCTCCCTCCCTTCCTTCTTTCCTCCCACACATTTCCTTCCTTCCATCCATCTTTCCATTCTTCCTTCCCTCTCTCTTTCTCTCATACTCTTATACACTTTTTCTTCCTCCCTCCCTCCTTTCCATTCTTCCCTCCCTCTCTCTTTCTCTCTCACTCTCACACACCTTTCCTTTCCTTTCCTTTCCTTTCCTTTCCTTTCCTTTCCTTTCCT